GTCCTCCTCCCAGCCTTCACAGAGACATCCCCTTGGTGCTGGCGTGTCCCTGCATCCACTGCAGACCTGTGACCGCCTGCTCCTCCAGGCTGGCTCCAGTGAGCCACGCCGGGGCTGAGCTGCCTGAAATAGGCTCAGAGAGAGCCTTCCACAGAAACCTCTAAATGGGTTTTAATGTCTCCCCGCCGTAGGATTCCCGGAATTAATTTGTGTCTGGCTTTTGAAATCAGGGATGTTGTGTTGAAGAAGATGGATGCTCTAAGAAGTATTGGAAAGAATGAAGGGCTGACAGGGGTGGTTTATGCAGCGAGCCTGGCCATGGATGCAGAGTAGTAAATGTGGTTGGTTGATTGAGATCAGATTTTTATTTATTTTTTCCAGTGGCGACGCCCATGTCGTTTATTTATTTATTTTCCCCTTTCACTTCAAGGCACATAACAACAACGCTGTATTTTATAAATCCCTGTGATTATAAATCTCGTAGGATGTCATTCTTGGTTTCCTCAGAGGCCAGGAGTCTATACCCACAAGAGACAGATGGGAGAAGCAGCCAGCAAACCTTCTATATTATTGCAGAGAATTGCAGGAACTGGTTTTGGTTACACCGCATGGGGAACACAGAGTCTGCACAGAGCATCTCCATTTACTGCTTCCTCTGTGAGCAGCCAAGGCAGGATTGCTGACACTCCCTCCACACAGATCCTGGGCAGGGAATGATGCCCTGCAAAAGATGCAAAGCCACGGATTTGCATCAACTCTTTCTGTTATCCTGCTTTGAGGATGTAGCCTAAAAAATGTTAAAAGTGCTTCATGCAACTGTGCAAATCTCGTGTAAAAGTCCAGGTTAGTTCACCTCCTTTCTCCACTTTTACTCTGTGCCTTGTCCCAGCAGAATTGCTCCAAGAACTGCATGAAAAAAGCATCCTCTTGCTATGTCTTGCAGGCAGCAGTGGCAGATGAGACTTTGAGTTCCACAAGGTGTGGGTAGCAAAAAGAGATTGTTGCTGTAGGATGAGTCAGGTTGTGCTGCAGTGTTAGGAAGTGGGTTTTTTCCCACAGTTTAGAAGATTTTTAAAAGTAGAGGATTTAGTTTACATTTTTTCATGAGGTACAAGGTCAGTTGTGGAGTGAGAGCTGGATTTAGATTTAGAGTCATCTCTCAGCTTTGAAGAAAGAAAAAACAACAACAGGCATGTTTGATTTTGGTGCTTTGCTTCATTTTCCTGCTGCCTTGGCCGTGGGGCTGCCTGTGGTGTTGTGGGGGCAGCCCCACAAGGTCTCTGGTCCTTCCCTCCTCTTCCTATCATTCACCTCCTCCCCAGCCCTACCAGAGTCAAATATAAACTTTCTTAAAATGAACACAAGATTCATTCCACTTGACCAGGCCTGACTTCCCAGAAAATAAACAGAGAGAGCAGAGCCAGCCAGCCCCCTCTCCTGGAGCTGCCAGCCTCCAGAGAGCTGGCGGGTGACCCAGAGCTGCTCTGGGCTTTCTGTAGGGGAGAAAAGGGTGGAAAGGAGACAGAGCCCACCTAAAGGATTTCCAGGGTCTGCTAAGTGTCTTAATTATCACAGTTCTGATTTTTTCTTGTTTCAGTCTCAGTTGGATAGCTGGACACAAATGTCTCACTACCCTGGAAATGGACCCAAAGGAATCAGGTCAGTAGGATCTATTAGTGCTATTGATAGAAAAGGATTCTTCAAAACTCAGCACTCAAACAAATCCAAACAGGTCAAAAGCCAATTTCCTTTATGACCATTTTTACAGTTATCTTTTGTTTTCAAGGGACAATGGTTTGAACTTAGAAGGAGAGATTTAGATCAAATGTTAGGAAACAGTTCTCCCATGTGAGGGTGCTGAGGCCCTGGCACAGGGTGCCCAGAGAAGCTGTGGCTGCTCCATCCCTGGAATTGTCCAAGGCCAGGCTGGATGGGGCTTGGAGCAACCTGATCTACAGGGAGACAAGACAATCTTTAAGGTCCCTTCCAACACAAACCATTCTGTTAAATATTTCTATAAAAATGAAAAAAAAAAAAAGAAAACATATAACAAAACCCCATCATCACAGAGGCTGTGTATATTCATTGAAAGAATGACTAAAAAATAAAGAAAAGAATATGCTGAGCAGTTTTCCAGCCCAGTTTTGTCTTAATTTCTGCTATGCAGAGGTCACTCAGTACTGCACTGACTGGGGTGTGCCAGTGCTGTGCCCTCTGCCCACGACAATGGACAGTGAGTGGACACTGGAAAGGCTTCAGTTTGCTCTCCAGGGCAGCTCTCCAGACTCTGGATTTCCCCTGGCCTCTGTGCCAGCTGCCAGCTGTGGAACACTCTCTCCTTCAGTGCCTGGCAGTGTTCTGGAGGCAGGGAAGCTCTGTGGTGCAGCTGCCCTAAAACCACAGCGCCGGCCGTGACCTTTTGCACTTGAAGTCCTTGATTTTTTCTTAGACTCCCAAGCCCGCAGGTGTTATCCCTGCAATCCCTGGGAGCAGCTGTGTGCAGGTGATTCTCTCTGAAACAGCATGGGAAAGAAACAAGTGTAGACAAAATAATAAATACACCTGTACAGGCCTCCCTTTCCTTGCAGACAGGGGATGTTTTGGCACCCAGGTCAGAGTTATCTGATATATCCTGATCCCCTCTCCCAGCACTCATCACCTTCTCTAAGTGACAATGTTTATCTGCCTTTCTTTTCCCAGGACAGGTATCTTTGATCTCATCTGGTCTCACTGTTAAACACTCTCTCTTGCAATGAAAGCATGAGCTTCTGATCCTCTCTAATCCCAAAACATCCTGTGTGATTGAGTCTCTTGACTTTTTTCACCCTATGAGCAATACCTGAAGTTATTAAAAAAAAAACAAAAGCAACAAAACAAAGAAAAAAACCCTCAAAACAAAAAAAGAAAAAAGCCAACAAAAAGAAAACTAAGTAAGGGAGTCTTTACACTGCAGCAAACCTGCTCTTTATGGGAAAAAATATCTTGAACTCAGCCAGCTGCAGCATTCCCTCCTGGGAGCTGAGTGCAGAAAGCAGCAGTAGCCACAGTGCAAACTCAGGCACCTTCCTCTGTGGGTCTCCTGCTCTGTAAATATGTGATGATATTTACAGGCAGCATTAAAGAGGACAAATATAGTTAATGAGGATTGAACACTATTTCTGCAAACTACTTATGTGCTGCTAAGGATAACATTCAAGGTTTAAAAATGAAAATCAAGGGGAAAGGTTTATTTTCATGTTAGGTTTCAATTTGCTACATTTTTTGTGTCTTTACTATCTGCTGTTTTCCTCTATAAGCATTATCTATTCAAGACAGAACAGATTAAAGCTAATTGTTAGGCCCCTCTGTTTTTTTCTTCTTGCTGTTTTATCTCCCAAGCAACTTTATTTGGTACAAGACAAATAATCTGAATTCCTGAAGTCAGAAACAAGGAGTGGGAGTCCGGGAAACTGGCTGCTGATCTAATGCAGTTTTTTGCAAGTGTGGTTATGGTCAGAAACTCTAAATATGGCACCGTGTTACTGTACACATGGTGACTGCACCCTGTGTGTCAGGGGCTGAGTCACAGCACTGCAGTTTACTGACAAAAACATGTTTTACTACTCTGGGTACTGAGGAGTCAATAGAGCTGGGAGTGAAAGTGTTGAGCTCGTTGCATGGTCACCAGCTGAATCACAGAATCGTGGAAAGCTTTGGGCTGGAAGGGATCTCAAAGACCATCTCTTGCTACCCTCTTGTTGAATTTGCAGGAAACTCTGACATGGGAAGAGATGAGAATCTTGACTCCATGTTTCAGAAGGCTGATTTATTATTTTATTATATATATTATATTAAAAGAAAATGATATATTAAAACTATACTAAAGAATAAAAGAAAATATTTCATCAGAAGGCCAGCAAGGATGGAATGATATTAAAATCTTGTGACTGACCAGAGAGTCTGAGACAGCTGGATTGTGATTGGCCATTAATTAAAAACAACTACATGAGACTAATCAAAGATGTACTTATTGCATTCCACAGAAGCAGATAATTATTGTTTACATTTCATTTCTGAGGCCTCTCAGCCTCTCAGGAGAAAAGATCTTAGCAAAAAGATTTTTCATAAAATATGTCCATGACCTCTTGATACCTTCCACAAGGCCAGGTTCCTTTCAGTGGGTTTGGTGCCTGCCCAGGTTTTTTGGTGGTGAGAGAGCTGGAAGCAGCAGAAGGGACGTGATTTGGCCAGTGGATGCTGAGGTGTGGGTTTGCTTGGCTGGGATGAAGAAGCTGTGGAGGGGGGATCACTGCTGGCACCCCATGGTGGGGCTGCAGGAGGGGAGCACAGTCAGGAGAGCTGTGATGCCCATGGCCATGATTCTCCTGACGGGAAAGTTCTGGAAAAGTTTTCTTTCCAGCACCCTGAAGAACAAAAGTCTTTCCAAGCTTCATGGAACAGAGTTGTCAGCTTATGGCTCCCTCTCCCCCTGCTGCAGGAAAGGCTCCCTACACCAATGAACCAGCAACAGTTTGATCTTCTCAACTTTTGAACTGTCTTGATCTGAATGATAATGACGGAATCTACATTAATATAATATTATTTTTATTTTAACAAAGCCCCCTTTTTTTCAATCTTTTAATAAGTATCCACTAAAGAGCTCAGCTGGCATTCCCATACTGTCCACATTCATCCTAACCTTTAGTATTGACTGACTCATGCAGTATGCATCTGCAAGAGTTGTTCATGGAAAGTATTAAAGAAATGTAGTTTAATATTTGGTAAATAGGATGTGTCTTTGTGCTTGAATTCATGTTTCAAATGTCTGTGTTTGTGTTATTTATATTAATATATTTCTTGGGCTGCTTAATAATAGTAGCAATTAAGATAATAACAATAAATACTAATAATACTGAGCTCTTCTGCTTTTCATCTAAGGAGGTCAAGACTCAAGGGTGTACCTCTGGGGCTGGTGTAATGTAGATCTGATCTCCTCCTGCTATTTTTTCTTGTGAAAAGTTAGGAATATCATGTGAAGATCAGATCACCTCTATTTTGGCCTCTGGAATGTCTCTTAGGCATTATAAATACCAGGAAGAAACAAAAAATTGGAAAGAAAACAAGCACCAGGACATTGAAAAATATAACCACAAATACTGACCTATTTGGGATTTTTTTTCTCATTTAGCAGAATTCTATTAATACTGTAATTAAAGCTATTTTGTAGCCTGGAAGCTTGAGCACCTGGCTCTTATTAGAGCTGGATCCATATTGCACGGTGAAAAAAGCCAAGAGGACAAGAGAGGAGATGGCCCAAAGGAGAACACAAGAGGGCACAGTGGCACCTGTGGTGCACTTTTTGTTCTCTGGCTTTTTGAATTGTTGAGGGCAGGTTGAGCTCAGAGCTCTGTTTACATGACATAAATAATTACGGTAACAGGGGTCATTAGTGGGAACAGTAAAAATTTAATTTTGTCAACTTGGAGTGGATTATTTACTAGAATTTTTTTTTTTGGTGGCTGAAAGATAGATGTGATGACTGTGTCATATAAGGTCAATATGGCAATAAGCCCCACTGCAAGTTTGACAGAATTAATGTGGGCAGCCAGTAAGAATGTACTGATTGTATTAAATAAGGTACAAAATGCACATTCCAGGCAGGTGTTTCTGCACTTTCCTCATCAATTCCACTGTTCTTGTATTGTATTGTGCTGATGGAAACAAATTCTGTGATTTCAGAAACAAAGGACGCTGATGCTGCTTTTCATCCTTCTGCCCAAGGAGAATAAATGTTTGTGCAAACCTTTTTTCATGTGGCTGCCCAGAAATGACCCGAGTGAAGCCAAGAAGTTGAACATTAAGCAACCTCGCCCTGGTGATGCTGCTGAAATGAGAGGTCAGTGGTGAAAACTTTCTTCTGGAAGAGTTAATGCTGTAAATAGATATGTAGATTGTATGTTAATGGTGTAAATAGATATGTAGATTAATGGTGTAAATAGATATTTGTAAGGAAGTGACACTATAATAAGAAATAAGCAGAACCCTATTTCAAATGTGAGGTTGAAGCTCAGAGGTTGCAGTTGTCCTTAGATGTCTCAGTGGGGCGAACAACCTCCTTGTGCCACAGTCACCTACATCAGTGGTCTTTTGTGGAGGGAGAGCTGGGGGAATAAGCCCAGCAAAGGCTTGCAAACAGCCTTTTTTGGGTCTTTTCAGTCACCATTTCTAACACTGACAGGAGGTTACAGCCTGGGCCTTCACGATGGGAATTGTGGTTGAAACCTCTGAAGGCTGTAATCCATGACATGGTGTTAAATCACAATTACAAATGAACATCTCCCCTTAATTTTTTTTCAGTGAAGTTGAAGAAAGGCCCTTGTCCTCAGGTATTATTTGTAAACAGAACTTCTCCTCCCATCCCAAGCAGCCTCTGGGGTTTCTCTCCCTCCCAGAAGCCAAGCTGTGCGCGGAGCCACGGAAGGAAGGTGCGACCCTACGGCGCGCGCAACAAAGTACAGAAACAAGATCATTAACATCTTAATATCCTGCCCTGACATCTCACAAATTATTTTAGACTTCATAGCCAATGTAAACAGGTTTGTTTTCAACTCCCCTAATTGCCTGCTAATTGAGAGCAGATGCAGGCCTTAACTTTGAGCAGATAAAGAGCAGCCTCTTCTCTGGGGCTCCGCGTCTATCAGGAGGTCTCTGATGTGTGCTCTGAGCTTCCCTGCTTAGTGATGCTGAGGCAGAGGGGGATTGCAACGGCTCCTCTTGCCTGAACCTCAGTGAGACAGAAGGGAAGACAGAGCTGTGGGACTCATCAGTAACATCATCATCATTATTGTTTCATTTCGTACTCCAGTGCACTTTCTGCAACAGCGCAGGTCTCCTTCTGGGGGGGGAGTTCTCCGAATTATAGATGGGCTTCTCGTTATGATAGAAATCACTGGGTTTATGAAAAATGCATTGCTGTCATATTCCATTATCTACTTCCTCCCATGCTGCAATCCCGTAGCTTGCAAGTCATTAGATTCTTTTTCAGGGTTCCTTTGAAATAATCCTTTCAAAAAACACTATTCATTGGGTATGACCCCAGAGAGATACTGTCTGGTACTAAAGCTCTCTTTTAGTTCTGCGAGGGAGACCTGTAACAACAAGATAAGTGCATGTATATTCCAAGTAATGTCTGGAGTTTGCTGCCTCCCATTAAATGCAATGGGAGCTTGCAGTTCAAATGGTAAAATTTTGCTTTGTAAATGTAGGAGAAAATGGAGTTCAGATATATAGGTAAATTTGCATTTGGTAGTGATTTAATGTTCCATGGGTCTGTTTTAGCTCCAACTTAAATATTACATTAAAACCATCAATAAAGAAAAAAAGGAAAGAAAAAAAAACCCCAAAAAACGTGCTAACTGCTGGGTTCAGAGGGAGTGGATGTGATTTTGTTCTTGCTGTCAGTGTGGCAGTGAGCTGCCTTTTACTTTCTCCTCTTCATTTAGCAAGTCAGCAGCAGCAGCAGTTAAATGATAGCCCTCCGGTCTTTCTTCAGGACTGTTTTTGCAAATGAAAGCAGGAACTGCAAATCCTTGTGGTTTTCATATCACTTACAAGGTGTTTTGTGAATTTTAACATTTTTGCATCTATCTGTGAAACAGTGGAGGGGATGGAAGTAAGAAGTGCCCTTTGTGCAGGGAGGCTGCATGGCTTTGTACCACTGGGTTCAGGAGGTCCTAAAGGGATATTGAAGAGAAAAAAACAGCCAAAAATTAAAATCTTTGGTGGCTTGTAAATGATAAATGGGTTGAAAGAAAAAAAAGGGGGAAGAGTTAACATCTAACCAGTGTCTTTCAGAAATACCTAAAGCACCTGGTGTCTGGATTATGAAACATTATTCAGTCCCAGAACCACAAACTCTCCAGGTTTTCACTGTGATTTCTTCACAAAGCACTTTTTCTCTCCCAGGGCTGGCTCCAGGCCTCTCTGTGAACACAGAGTCACCCCTGCTCACATTATCCCTCTCTGGAAAATTGCCACAAACCTTGCAGAATCCAGTGCTGATCTACCAGCACTGTGAGGGGTTTAATAGGAGGGCAGGGGGCTTGCAGTCAGTAGCACAAGGCATAACAGAGTAGAGCAGTGGTCCATTAAATCAGTGTGCTGGGGCCCAGGCATTTACAGTCACACAGTCAGATGTTTCCAGTAATTATTTCCCCACAGCATTTTTATTAGGTGCTCCATAAATAATATTCACTTCCATGCTCTTCTCACGGTCTTTTATTTTTTAAAAAAATACAGTAGGAGAGAAAAGAAGGGGAATTCACTTTACTTTCAGCTAGATTTTTCAGGTAATTCTGTTTTTGAGCCCTACTGAAGCAGATATGAACTTGGAATATATGAATAAATTAGGTTCTGCTGACCAAACATTGTGACCTACAACAATCATTGGACCAGCTTAATGCAAGAATCATAGAACCACCATAGGATCACAGGGTTGGGAGAGACATTAAAAGTCATCCAGTTCCAGCCCTGCCATGGGCAGGGACACTTCCACTGTCCCAGGGTGCTCCAAAGCCTGTCCAACCTGGCTTTGGACATTTCCAGGGATCCAGGGGCAACCACAGCTGCTCTGAGCACCCTGTGCCAGGGTCTCACCACCCTCACAGGGAACAATTTCTTCCTTATAACTAATCTGAACCTATTCCCTTTCAGTCTGAAGCCATTCCCCCTCATAAAATGACTCCAGAAAACCCCTACCCACTGTTAGGTTTCTATTTCAGATTTAGATTTGTCATGTCATGGTTCCATGCAGACCTAGGACTGACAAACAGCCAGCACTGGGACTGGAGTGAGATCCTTTTTTTATGTCCTGTTTGTTTGTTGTTCACTTGTTTTGGTTGTATTTATGTAGTTCAAATGCAGGGTCATCACACCAACAAAAGGCTCTGCCCTTTCCTCTGTGGAAGGACTCCCAGAGCTCAGCACTGTCACTGTGTGTTTCATCTGCTCTGTACATGCAGCCCCACTGCCAAGCACTGGCTTTTCCATGTAGGCTACTGTGCAAAGGCTTTTTCCAGGAAATATCACTCTCTTCTCTCAGTTATAGCATTAACATTAAGCAATGCAGCTTCTTTCCTGGCACCAGCACTTGTGTTTTGCAAAGGGTTTTTTATTCAGATATTTAATTTTCAGCATCAATTTTCTATCCAAAGTAAGATTCCTCAAATAAACTCAAGGATCTGGGGGCTTATTTTTGTGCTTGCTGGACTGCAGTGTTGTAATGAACCCCAAGCAGAATTCAGAGGAGCAACAGCAAAAGGAAGTGGAGTAAATATTCATGGTTCTGGTTTGCTACAAGGGTCATAAACTCTTTTACCTGTGTGTGCAAACTCTCTGGGCAGTAGGAGGTGGGTGTTTATATAGATCAACCCACAAGTGCAATACTTCTCAGCTGAATAGCTGAGTCAAGGGAGGTTTAGTTTGGATATCAGGAAAGAAGTTTTCATGCAGAGGGTGAGCACTGGAACAGGGCAGGGGTCACAGCCCTGAGCCTGCTTGAGTTCTAGAAGTGTTTGGACACTGCTCTCAGGCACAGGGTGGGATTGTTAGGGTGTCCTGTGCAGGGCCAGGAGTGGAAACCCAGGGCACAGGGAATATTTCCCTGTCTGCTCTGGGGTGCCCTGACACCCAGGGCAGCATTGAGTTTGACCCTTATTCATGGAGAAAGTTTCATAGACATCAAGATACACTAGAATCCACAAAAGTGTGAAATAGATTATAGAAAATAGTGTAGGTGTATAATTTGCTGAGAAATTGACGTTTTGGAATTTTTAGTATGCTGTGGATGGAATCAAGATGGAGGGCACAGGGTGTTGACAGGGTGTTGTCCTGGGTTTCTTCTTCATGCTGCTTCTTCCTCCTTCTCCATGGGTTTGGGTGGCATTTTGTAATTGGGCAGAAAAGTCTGCACTGGGGGCTCTTTGGGATCAGTTATTGGGTTAAAAGGGAAAATAATCTAGGTGTCAGTTCTTAACTGGACCTAGACCTTTTTAGTCTTAAAAGACCTTGAACCAAGAGACTGTTGGCCATTTTGTGCCTTCTAATGAAAAGCTGTCAAACTCACAGTAATGAGATTGTTTTACTGATAAGAAATAATAAGCACTTGAGTCCAAATGTGAACTCCTGTCTCAAGTGCCTTCAATCCAGACCCAGAGAAACCCTCAACTGGCACTGGCACAGGCAGGAGTTGGACTCAATGGTCCTGAGGGGTCCCTTCCAACTATTCCATCATTCTGATATGTGTGGATGTGTGCACAGGGAGCACAGGAACGGTTCATGGCTGGGCAGAAGACAGAGCTCCAGATGAGGGGGTGGGTTTGCTGTCAGTGCCAGCTCAGGTCAGATGGCTTCATTCCATGGTGTCCCCATGAGGCGCCAGTGGCTCAAAGGAACAGAGCATTTACATGCAGGCCATTGTCAGTGGGCTGGAGGATTCTTAGCAGCACTGACTGATGGTTGAGATGTGTGTGAAGACAGAGGACCCAAGGCTAGACCTGACAGAGCTCTTAGACCTGGATAAAAGAGGCAGGTGAGGGAGCTTCCTCCAGCCCTAGCACAGCTGGAAGCTGCTCTGCTCCTGGCCATGGCTGCAGCAGAGTCAGGGACATGCTGGCAGGAGGAAGCGAGTCCTCTGCTGCTCAGAAAACCTCACCTCCAGATCATTTCTCAGTTCCTTTTGTTCTCTGTTTCATTTCTGGGCTGGGGAAGTTGCAGCCTGAAATTAAACAAGAACCCACTCAATATAAATGTATGTATCTATTTCGTCTGTAGGAAGACTCAGTTCAGTGAACCCAGGCCATTGGCATTTCATAATTTTCTCTTGCTGCAGCAGGTAAGTGATTAACCCATTGTTATTCCTCTCCAAAGGAAGAGAGAAAAATATATATTCTGCAAAGACCATGATTAAAAAAAAAATCCATTGGGTTTTTAAAGAAATATTTTATTGGAACCATAAGGTTTCTTTTTTTTTTGAGAGAGAAAATTTGAAATCCGGAGTTTATTTTTCCTTCAGTGTCTCTCCTAAGAACCAACAGGAATTGAAATTTTTTTTTTCTTCTCTCTCGTGTTTGTGCCTACTTATTAAACACACATGTGGCCTGGATTCCTTGAGTAGGTGCAAAGAGGTTCAGAAAAAAAAAAGGAAAAGAAAAAAAGGTGTAACCCAGTCCATTGACCTGTCTCTTTGCCCTTAGGACTCTTTCGAACAGCTGTGAGAAAAAGAAAGGGTGGGGGCAGAGAGGTAAAAAAAAGAGGCAGTTTAACAAGCCAAATCCAGATGTTCATTTCATACACACACCCTGAACAGCTTTTGCATGGTTTATTTCATTTTCTGAAACCATTTTTCACCAGCCTGTTTTCTCAGCTGGGAAACTTCTGGTGTAGTGTTTTCAAAAAAATATTGCATTTGGCATTACAAGAAAACAGA